GCTCAAGTTAAAGGCACTCGGATTGGTCTGGATGGAAAAAACTGGATCATTCCTACACATCCGCAGCAATAGATGTGGAAGGAATGTTGTGTTTGTACGCGTGAGAGAGTGAGCAGGAGAGAGAGGGAGAGAGAGAACGAAGGAAAGAAAGAGTACGAGCACTTGAAGGGATGAAGAATTACTGAGCAGGCTTAAGTGAGCGTGAGACCTCAGGCAAACCATGCAAAAAAAAAAGAGGAGAGGGAGGGAGATAGAGAGATACAGAAAGAGAATAGAGCTCAGCACAGCAAGAGATTCTAAAGAAGGAGATTAAGTCAGAGAGGTTGATATAAACAAGCAGAATAACTCTTCAACACAACCATTTCTGTCCGTTCTATTTATACTAACTGCGCTGATAAAAGTCCAAGATTACAGCTGAGCCCACTGTGACAAAATAACAAGGCAGCACCACAGACAACGATACTTTCTCAGCCCATCCCCATGCAATCAATGCTTTCAGTGCTTATGGAGACGAACTGCAGCGGCATGGCTGTGCTCATTAACGCTGGCACTGTGGGTGGACGGTGTAATGGAGGCTTTTCAGCAGCTTGGCATGAGGAGAGTTATTGTTCAACTGTGCTTTAACCTCTTTCCACCGAGCCTTAAATTGCCAATGAGGAGAGAAGAGTGAGAAAGTGCCCCACTCTATTTATTTCCGCAGGTTTTAAAAGCACAGTTGTGGGTCGCTACGGAGCCGCCGCCGCCGGGAGACTGGCAGTAAACGGAGAGAATTTGATTTGCGGCCTCCTGATGTTTTAAACTGCCATTGATTGAAGCGGGTTAGGTGCATCCAAAGCTGTCATTTCTGAGCCTAATGAAATGAGAGGACCCTAAAGAGGAATGTGGAGAGGCGCAGAGAAAGTGCAGCGCACGAGTGTGACCCAGTTTCAGGGGCTTCCATGTAAACAGAGTTGACCCAGGGACTTCTCTGTACAACCAACTGGCTTAAAGGAAGAGTTTGATGAAAAAACAAAACTTGCACAGTTTGCTCTTTAATGCTACAATAGTTGAGGAGCCAAGATATGTTTTACGTTTTAAGTTTTCTTCTATACTTTAGCTACGAGGCTAATGTCGCTAACAAGCAACAGAAGTTTATAACTGCACATCTAAATGAAACAAGTAATCTCCTTTATGTGTTCTTTTACCTTTTTCATACAGTTGTCTATTTTTGTAGATAACAGAGTGGTTTGACAGCTGCATGCAGTTAGCTCAAGGCTAACTGAGTATATTTGGCTAAATTGAGAGAGGACGCACCGAATACTGGGCTGAAAATTTTCAATGTACATTGCTGTCAATGCCAAGGCAGATACACATACACTTAGAAAATGTAACTACAATGTAACTACATCCACCTGGATTAGCATTACAAAGAAATGCATTGTACTGCAAATGTGTGTTTTCTTTATATTTTTAAATGTTTTAACTCCCTGAGGCTATGTTCACATTACCAGGTTGAAGTGGCACAAATCCAATTTTTTGCCCTAATGTGACTCAGAGCTGTGTGAACACGCAAATCTGATCTTTTCAAAGCCGATCTGAGCCACTTTCATATGTGGTCCTAGATCAGATATGTATCCGATCTGTGGCTGTGCAACCTCAATGTGAACCCTCAGATCGGAATTCATGTGCACGTGCACCATCATTCAGCGTTACCATGGCAGCAGCGCCGAACAGTAAAAAAAAAGCCTGTAAACAGTTGAAAAGCAACACATCTCACCTCTTTTCGCCTTCGTCTCGCTCTAATAATGAACAGCTGAGAGCTCATCAGAGTTAATTATCTTTGCAGCGAAGCTCGTTCTGCTCATTAGTTTGTTTGCTGATGATGCACGTGACGCACATGATTCATTCATGTGACATTACTGAGTACGATGTGCGCATGCAGGTCGTTTCAGGACGCAGGTTCGTTCACATTAATGACAGATTTGAATCACTTATCTAAACAAGCGTGAGCCATCGTGTGATCGGATTTGAGCAAAAAATCAGATTCGAGCAATGAGGCTTGTAATGTGAACGCAGCCTGAGTGGTAGAAAGGATCTAAAAATCAATATCAGATAAAAAACACTGATGTCATTTTTTTGCCTGCTGATACCAACAGGATACCTACATCATCATGCATCCCTAACAAGGTAAGAAGAAACTGTGTCAAACAGATCTTTTAATGAACTGTTAGTTTAAGATGGTGATCGTCTTAGGCCGACCACTCCCTCTGTTCCATTCACTGACCACACACATGCATATTAAGATAAACACAAGCTGTTCTGTTTACTCTGCTGTTCGCCACAAGTGAAACGGGGTCACTCAAAATATTTGCTGCGCTGTGACAGGTCCTCTCTAATACCATTAACTACCAGTCGTACACAGAGGAGCAGAATGTCTTCCCTGACTAGCACATGTGAATATGCAGGTCAAATAGGGTTTGCAGTAGACATGACGAGTGAATCGGTTGACTGAATCTGAGTCTGCAGTGCTGTCAGAACGTCAGACATTTTGCAGGAGTGACTGTGAGTATGTGTGTCGGGAAAGGAGCTAGCTAGAAGCTCTGATATGGAGAGACAGCTGAGTCAGAGGCTGGTAAATGTAGGAGGGGTCCTACCACGAGCCCTGACTCACCAAGTACTCTCCTAGCTCAATATTCTGCAGCACACATTCAAAACTCTCCTTCTGGAATTATAGTTATATAGTTATAACTACAGTGGAAATATAGAAGGTATAGTTTCTCTGTGCAGGAGACGTTGGTGGCATGGAGAATGTTTTGCTCCAGGGATGTGGAGGAGTATTTGTAAGCTTACTTGCAATTTTGGGTGACTTTGTGTGGAACAGCATGGATAAAGCCAGGAAGGTCCCAAAAGAGTTAATCAAGGTCGTGGGCCTAATCACATAACATGACTGCTCTGACCCCTGAAGTGTGGATGTTTGCTGATGTAACCCGTGTCCTGAGATTAGCGCTACGAAGTTCACCTCAAATCAACTGGAACCTATCCTGATGGAACCTGTCTCCAAAGCCTAAAACGAGTTCCCACGAAACACGGGAGAGCAGAAATACATCAACGTTGCACTCCGAGCAGTAAGAAAATTAAGCTAAACTGAACTGAATTAATCATTAGTCGTAAACATGGTAATAAATAAAGCAGCAAGTGTCAGTTGATCTCTTTAACATTTGGAGCTGGTGCTGGAACTAATCACTGTCAAATGCTTGTGTATTTCTTTTCACTTCTTAGATAGCGCAAACACAGGCCGTATTCTGTTGAAATGGAAAACATCAAGCTTGACACTAAGCTATTCATCAAAAGCGCACCAGAGTACAACTGGCCTCTAAAAATTTCAGACATGAATTCCAAATCGAGTCTTCCAATTTCAGCACTAAATGAGCAGTGCAATTTGCAAAACACTCCCTTGCAACATCTGCTGGACTCAGAAATGTCAACCACTGCCCATGACATAACACGCCCAATAAAACAAGAACAAGCCTCGAGGCTGCTGTAAACTGTCACAAGCCGATGCGCCGCAAAATGTTTGTGAATTCCACACACAACTGCACAGCAGCTCCATCTATATGAAGGACTCCTATGTCGCTTGCTCATTAAGAGGACAGCACACTGCTGTCAAACTTTGCTGGCAGGCTAGCTTGTGGGCACCTAGTCTCTTGGGTCCAGATGTGATCTATTAACGAGAACATCTGGGGGCCACCATGAGAAATCCTGGGCTAAGTATGGTGGGAACGTTGAATTCAACTTATTAGGGTGGGACTAAACTGAGTGTGAAAGTTCTAAACCAGTGCAAAGCATTGTGAAGAGTTCAAAGTAGTGGGGGTGCACTCGTCAACACTGTCCAACACACAACAAGCTGACCATTAGTCCATTCAGCGTGGCTGACAATTCCCCCAGAAAGTTAGAATTAAGCATTTGGTCTTGTCTTATGTGGATGGAGAACACATCAAATGTAGTAAAAAACTGACTCTCAATATTTTACATATTACGACCCTGGGACATACAGCAAGTTAGGGGCTCTTCTATGAACAGTACTTTCTCGCCGTGCTATTGGGTCTCACTGAAATTATTCTCTGATAACTGAATGCACACAGCTGAGATATAGATATAGAATACAGACTTAACATAGCCATAAAGCCCTGCAATGTATTGAGGTCACCAATCGGGTCATCAACAGTACAGGACAAAAGAATCCTCTAGGACCTATATACTTCCCTCCACACCCCACTCTAAAGGCCAAAACGGTGTTCATCATTTAAACGATTAACTGACAAATATTGGACGTGATGCCCAGTTTCAGTGCGTGTGTATGTGTGTGTTTTATTTGGCTGATTGAAAAGGAAATGGTGCTGAGAGGCTCAGTAAACAGTCAGCAGCTTGGCCGATAAGAATGAGCTAATCCGGCGATTTGGTATATCAATTTAGCCATTAATCAGGACCATATGGGCTTGGAGGCCGATGCAGCTGTTATAGCTAAGGCTATTAACAGGACAGACAGAAGCATCGAATAAGCTTGGCAGCTAATCAGTTTTTACCCTGTGGTAGGATAGTAAGTGCTGCTTTATTTTACCACAGTGGTGCCAAATCCAGGTCCTAGAATTCCCATTCTTTGCAAATGTTTGTGTTTTCCTGCTCCGAATACACCCAGTTCAACTAAAGATCTAGTTAACAAGCCCATCCCAAGATGGAGTGGGAGTATTAAAGCAAAGAGAACATGAAAATTTGCAGGTCTGGGGTAAACTTTTTAAGGGGCTAATTAGAGGATCTATGGAGTGACGCCATAGAAGAACCTTGCAAGTGCGAAGAACCTTTTTAAAAGTTTAAAGAACCTCCACATAATGTCTTAACTGTGCATCCAAGCCAGGAACCATTTCCAGAACCAAAACAAGGACCAGGACTGGGAAGCAGTGCTCTGGAAGAAGCTTGCAAAAAGCCATAGAAGTTACAATTTGTGTTTGGAGCAGATCACTCACCTTCCCTCCCCTGCCTCTTCCATGTCACTGTTGAAACTCATTCTGGAGAGATGGTACAATTACCCAGATGGGTGAAAAGGCAGAACTGGACTGTCCCGAAAACACGGCAGGCGCAACAGACGGAGAGCCAAAGGCAACACTGGCGACTGCAGATCGGCTACAAAGTCCGAAAGACAGAGGCAACTGTAGATAGACTGCTAGGTCCAAAAGATGGAGGCAACCACACCTCTTCTTGAGGGATTAAGTTTGAGGAGGCGGTAAAGACTCCCGCGCTCCGCCTCATCACCACACGCACCCTCGCCCACGAACGCCTGGCCGAGCCGCCTCGGAGGAACAGATCAATTCATTCGTCTCTACGAGCAGTGAGCCAGAGAGAGTGTGGAAGAGCAGGGGGAGAGCGAGTGAGTGAGTGAGAGAGACAGAACAGACAGAGCGAGGGAGGAGTGTGGAGGTGATTAGGCTGGGGACAGTAATGACACACTTTTCCGTCGCCCATCTGTGGTGCTGGTTGACTGCTCTGTGTGGATATGTCTCTTTCTGTCCAATCTGGCGGTGCCCAGCACTCACCTTGGCATCAGCCTTTATCCACTAAGCAATTTAGACCAAAATCAAAACACAGGCTTTGTCTTTTCCCTTATCCTCCTTTGCACAGCTGTAGCAAAACACTCATAAAGCTTGCCTGAGGCGTTTATCATGCTGGATGAGGTCAGTGATTAGGAACAGGGCCAATGGATGAACGACTCAAAATGTTGCCTGGGAACGATTATGACAGAACAGACAGCCAAACAAACGCCGATTCGTCTATTGCTCTTGTGCAGACAGATTAGCCTGATCGGTTACTGTGGCTACAGCATGGGCACGGCATCAATAAGCCTATTAACGGTTTAGTTATATGACAAAAAGAATGCAATAAATGGGCAAGAAAACTACATCATGGTCATGGTTGACATCATATAACAAAAAAACTCTTATTCTCATCATGTAGTTGGAAGGAAGCTGCTTCCACCCTTAGTGGTCAAACTGTTCATCAAAAAAAAAGAACTATATGAGAACTAGAGCTGTCACTATTGATTATAGTAGTATTTTGTTGATTCACTGAGTAATCAGTGTGTGTTAATAAAAAAAATTGGTTTAAATGAACAGTAACACACCGCACAGAGCAAAGATTCCAAGACGAGAAAGATAAAAATAAGTCTTTAAAAATACACATTTATATGCAAAAGTTTGAATACTCCAGATCAAATAACATGTTTTGTTGATTTTCTGAGTGAACACTTGTTAACACATCATCTACAAGAAACTAATTTAAATATGGCATTTTTTTCTGCAAGTTTTAGTGCTTCAATCTATTTATTTGCAAAATTTTGTCTTTTGTATAGGCCACGTTTTATGTTCTCAGTGTTAAATTCAGCAAATAAACAGTAATTGTGCACTAAAATGTGCACAAGTGCATTCTCTCTAGAGGATGTGCAACTTATTATCTCTCACAAAATCAACAAAACATGTAATTTAACAAGAGGAAATGGCTTTGAGAGGAGAACCATGTCTGAACCTCCTTCCAATCTAACGTCTTGTAAACTTCCATCTCTAACTTCTGTTTCCCATGACAGTTTTTGCACCTCATCACCACCACAGCACCTCATTCTTGCTCCTCAGGCCTCTCTCAGTCTTACCTCTGCCCACCAAAGTGGAGACCAGCCTTATAGCTCAAAGCAGAAGCTGCCAGTTACTGCAGGCCAAGCTCTCAGAGTTCTCCCCCTCCTTCAGTTATACAGTCCCTTCTCATACTGCAACCATGCTGCGAGTGGGATGGTCCAAACCTGCTCTAGGAAGATTATATAGCAGTATGTAATACATAAATCGTTACTTTACATGTACCCTGAGTACCACTGCTAAGACAATTTTAATTTCTACTGGCACTTCTATGGAATTTTCAATGTTTAGCCAAGCTACGCCAAGCTTGTGGTGGCGTACATTCACATCCCACGCTCGGTTCAATATATGGAGGAGCCTGTTAGCCTGTTCACTGTCTGCTGAGCTGTTCAGGCTACACAAAACATTTTACTTCATAACCACTTTTACTTCACATACACATGCTGTAACAGAGAATATTTCATTTGACTACGTAAAGAATAAACTTGTAACTATAAACATATTCATAAGAAGCTGCTGGTGTGGGTTTCCTCTCTTTCAGTCATGCACACAAAAGCGACTTGAATACTAACAGCACCCCCTCATGGAGAATCTGCACATTGCCTTTAACTGAGAATGTAAATTTTAATTGCTTCTTTTTAAAAATTAATTGATTTTTTAAATTGTGTAATCTATTTTAATCAAGTTATTTATTCTTTAAGAACTTTTAGATTTGGACTATTCTGAAGCAGCTTTTCTAGAGCAGGTTTTTTTGGGAGGATGTCTTGCCAGTTGAAAAGTGGCCAGACTGACTGGTGTAGGCTCCACCCGGCAGCGGATTGATCGTGCTGCGTTAATTGAACCCGTCCCAATTTCTCCTGACCCAAATGCGAGCCCACCAGCAGAGATGCTTCAGCGTATTCACATGGACGTTTAACCAGACTAACTGTGCCCTCTGTGCCACGTGGTTATGTTGCCTGAAGATATTGACCAGCTGGGTTCCTGGCAACACACTCACACATACACACGCTGACAGGTCTGTCACTTCAATAAAAAGTGATTGCCAATTTTTTTTTTTTTTGCTGTGTCCACTGCAGTGAGGAAATATTCCCAATGTCACAGTTAAACAAGGAAATAAGGTTCATACACATCCAACTAAAGTGCTGAAACACAGAGACAGTTTCAGATTGTCCCATAAAAACAGACTGGGCCAAACCAAACAGTGGGTGGATATTGCGAGAAAAACCTCTGCCCGCTGTGGCTGTGATGTAATTTCCTTTAGTATCCCATAAATTGAGAGTAAAAACTTGCTTCATGAGTGAGCTTTCACTGCTAAGACTACCTCATGCATACATGATGCCGTAGAGTAAAAGCATTCTCCTCTAATAAAACCTCCTGATATCGCAGAGCCAACGCAGGAAATTTCTCTTCAATCCGATATTTATAGGGATTACAACAGTTTATTTACAAATGCAATTCTTAAAGGGGTATTCCAGCCTAAAATGGAGTTTAATATGGTATTTGTTATTTAATGCAGTATTCTGTACACAGCACTGCATCCCTCAGCCTCAGTTTGGCAGAATTCACGATTTAGTACCCTTTTAAGTTTTCTTCCATTAATATTCACTCACTACAATACCCAACATGCATTACACAAATACACGATACAACAACTGGGAATCCCCCCACAGCCCCATCTTCCCATCTCCAAGGGAAATAACACAGGCTAAAAAGGAAGATCCAGCTCAATGTTTAGGTCTCAAATGCAAAATCAACATTATACTGATGAAGATATGATGAGTACAGTAGACAATTCACTTCCATCCTCGGTAGACACGTCCTTCATCAAGTTTTGACTGAGTTCTCTTTGAATTCTTTCAATGCACTCACAATCACTAGATTCATTTGCTAGGAAGTCAGAAGCACAACGGGCATTACAAAATATTCTTCCACTTGTTGCATACAATTACATACGTCTACCAGAGAGTTCTCCAAATCCCCCAAATTTACATAGTGTTACTTTACATATGGCATTTTCTGCACATTTCTGTTTATTTGCAATATAAGTTTACATATTTGCACAGGCCACACTTTATGTTTTTTTTTTAATATATAAGTAATCTTGGGCTTTCTAGCACTACTGTGAGCTATCTGGCTTCCTTTTGCATTTACCAGCTGTCAAGTAAAAACTAAAAGATTTCAAACAGCCCATCTTCACATATCTGTCACAAAGTGCCTGTAGTTTTTCCCCACACCTTCAAGATACATCATCAGAAGTGGGTTTATCCTCATCTATAAATCAGACAATCTCACTTTAAGGTCTACAGTGGCACCACTGTAGGAGGCGAGTAGGCAGTGTAACAACGGTTGCATTGTTCATTTTGGCAGGAGTGTCCCCTTAAGAAAGGGTTAACAGCTGAACATTAATGCTTAATGGACTTTGTCAAAATGCCAAAAAGTAGCATTTGCTAATTAAGCCGAATAATCTCATCTCAGCAACACACAACAGACTGCCGCGGTTTCACATTTTGCTGATAAAGCCATGGCTAGTTAATACAGCAAATTTGCATACACTCATTAAAACTTTAAAGGCGTTAAAGACACAGCGAGAGGTCCGTTTGCATCGGTGTGAGTGAGAGATAATCAGAGAGGTAACCTACATTTGGAGCATTCTGCAGCAAACAAAAAATAAATAAAGAAATAAATAAAAATAAACATAGAGTCCTGAAATGGAGGCAATCAATATTTCTCTCTCTCATGGTGAGAAAAAGGTGCACCATGTTTAGTTTAGTTTCGTTTAGAATTCCACTCACATTCCACCTTTTAATATGTGAATATCTGAGGTCGGAAAAGAGGAATGTAGCCCACATTCTCCAGACTGAATCAGTAGCACACAGTAGCAAAATCAAGGTTTAAGACGCAAGAAATGGATTCTTAAAGCTGAACAGAGGCCTTTGTCGGTAGCTTATTTTACAATCACATCATGCTATAACCATACATAATATCACAGTTTGTTTTGACCTCAGTCTGATTGGCTGCTGAACATATTTTTCAAAATGTTGTTAAGTACCACTCCAACTTACTCACCTGTAAACTAGCAGTGAAAAAATGAAAAACACAACTGCAACAATGATAAAAAACTAGAATGCCAAACGCCAAACCAACTAAACCTAAATAACATCAAAGAGAAAAATTCAGTTAGTTAAACTGGATTAAATTAAATTACCTTTCATATTTTCACTTCATGAATATGGTCTAGAAGTCCTAGAAGTGGATCCTTTCTATGTTAAACCTTAAACCTGATTTGGAAATGTCTTAAAGTGAAGTTTGTAAACTTATGGAAAAGTAGTTTACAGCCGTGCTAGTTTAGCGTAGTTTAACTTGCCACAAAGAAATGAGTCCAATTTGGTACAAGCCGATTCGTGCTTTAGGCAAAAGCAAAACTGACACTAAATCAAAATTAAACTATTTTCTTTTCAGAAAATAACATCAAAGATAAAACTATTAAAGCACTCTTAAAAGCACTGAAATGAAACAAACTGAAAATCAAAGTGAAAAACGCAATAAAAATAAAACAAAATAAAAATTTCAGAGCTTTAATAACCTTTCTCACTCTCATGTTGTTGCTTAATTAGGTATTATATTTCATACTGAAAGCAGTGTTGGTGGCAATGACAGCAATTTCTGTGGTTTTGAGTTGTTATTTCATGAAGGCGATCCAACAT